ACTACAACTTACCTCATGTTTGCCTTTGTCAGTGGTCATCTCACATAATGGTATTTGAAACTGTAATATAGATACTGTTGGCCTTGGAAGTGTAGCTGGGAACCGAGATCCTTTGCATAATATACACCTCAATTGTAATGGGTTTTCATGAACACCAATTACCCAATAATTGTCTGATCTACTTTTACACTGTTAAAAAAAAGAGAGAGATCAGTGGACTTGAAGGATGAAGTAAACCTCTGTATTCATCAAAGTAAGATGATTATATAGGAAATGTTATGTATTACATATAAGCAACACACTTAACTTCGCCAATTGTTTGGTGAATTTTGCAAATCAGAGAAAATAAACAAATTTTGTAGCAGTGAAAATTTCAGAAGATACAAAGTATCGTTAATAGGGACATCCACAAAATTGTGGCTGTATTGGCCACAGTAATTCCTGAAGATTTTCTGGTAACGCAATGCGGAAGTGAATTATCAATATGATCTGTTGGAATTGATTTCGGTGAATAAACTGTTTTTGTTTTTTTTAAATGGTAACTAGCAATTTTTTACAGGTAAACTGAATACGGCACGAAATATTTACCGCATTTTACGTTTATTAGCAGGTCATTGTTGAAGCGTAGTTTATGCACGGATACCGTGGTCTACGCATTCACAACATACTCACGGCAGTTGATATCCATGCTGTATCATGGATATAAAAACGATTACCAGTATTCGTTAAGCAATGATCAAAGGCCAAGTTTTAAATTAGTGGCATTTTGAAGGGGTGGGCGATTTGCCGAATGTGACCCTGAATATAAAAATTGCACAAAAGTGGGGGGTGGGTGCTTGACCGGGCATAGGCGCTAAAAAGGTCGAGTACGGTATTATTACATTATTGACAGAGACAGTGCTATGGCTGTATTGACCACAGTATTGAACTGTCTGCACATATCTTACAATAAAGCTGGATAAATATGGAAGTACAATTGGCATATGAATAAATACAATATGATGTTGCTATATATTACTGGGCATATATATTTACCTACCTGTGTTTTGGTGTTGGCAACAGGAGTCCAGGAAAGCAATGATCTGTTTAACATTCTAACTACACCACTTGAATCAACACTGACTGGACTTCCTTCTGCGGAGAACCTTTCATCAAATTAACAAGATTTAATGATTGAATTAAGGCAGTTTTAGCAATATTCAATTATATATAGTACTAGTATATTATACTGGAAATTCACTAAAATTAATAGAAATTATTTGCAATGCTTTAACAATTTTAAGAATTGTATCAATAATAATCATCAAATGTCAATGATCAAACAAAATTTTGAGATATGAAGAAATAATTTAACCATGGAAACCAGTGAAAAAAACATTTAGAACTCTTTTCATCTTACAAAATTGTCCAAAGACCACAATTTTTGTCTTTTCATTTCTGGCGTCGTAATGCTATTAAACCCATAATAATGAAAGAAAAACATTACAAACAGTGTCCAAAGCAATTAGGGAATCCGTTGTTATTTGGAAAAGTTATTTATTTGGTAAATCAATAACTCGCTGCAAAATAATTTTTACCAAAGTCTTGGTCTAATTTTTGAAACAGAAACAAAAATTCCAACAATTTGGCAATATTTGCTATTTCCAGGATGTTTTTTCCTGCAAAATTAATGCCTATATTTTGTACTCTTATAAATAACATAATAAGTGACTTTTTATTGTGGAAGCTTAGAAAAAACAAATATTTGTACTCACCCCAACCATGTCAATGTAGACTTAGGACTAATTGGTAATGAATCACCAGATAAAATAAGTCTTTTTTTACCCGTCACATGCATCAACTTTAAGCCAAGGCACTGATCACCAGGAATCCCTGGAATGCAAGTACACTTCTATAATACATACCGTACTTTCCGATCATAAGTCCCTCTCTGAGTATAAGCCCACCCTTCTGTTTTTAGACATTTAACGAGTTGAGGGCATCACCGAGTATAGGCCCAGGGTGTTTTTATCGGGCGTCGATGACATTTATGAAATATGCATGTAAAAAGTGTATTTTATTGCATAAAAATCGTGATTGCTCCGGTAGTTTGGTTCCTGCTTTTACAAGAAAACTCGCATTAATTTCAGAGTGCATGGTGGCAAACGTACAGAACATGGTTCACACCTTTTCTATTCTGTTATTTCCTCGGGATGAACTCCAATGTTGCAATACTGGAGCAACCCATTATTCCATATCGTTTTTGAAACACCAAAAAGGTGATCGTCAAGTCGTGAAACCTGGTCATAGAACATTGTTTTAGTTTTCTGCATAATCGTGTCCATTAAGACTATCGTGAATGGGGTGTGAACAAGTAAACTATTCTTTGACATGACTTATTGGCGGCTGTGAAAAATACTCCCTCCATCCTCAGTTTACCTTTCGAAAATTGCAAATCAACAGCTTTGGGGGGGGGGGGGGAATCACAGCATTTTAACATCGCAGTAATTTACTCCCGCATTTTGTTGAAAAAATTACTTGGTCAATAATCGGAAAACTTCATCTGTACAACACAGCATTTTGACTGGTTTACGAAACACCTGACCTGTTAGGTCAAATCATGATGAAAAACATCATAGCGAGAATTGCTTTGTATTGAGAGCTTGCGTATAATCGAAAACATTCCACAACAAAGATAATAATAAAGATCTTGATTAGATGTGAACAGGCAGGCGGATGATAGTGGTGTAATCTAAGACAGACAGGCCAGCTGGTTGAACAGACACAAAAACTGATGGAGACTGAGAAAGAAAGAGATGGACCAAGATTATACATACCTGTAGCCATATGATAGACTACTAGCAGTTGAGATCCATGCCCTGCCATTGTAACAATAGGACCAGCAATACTGAACACTTCATATTGAAAACCACCCACAGAAAATAGACGTATAAAATTCTTATCTGTGGCTACAGCTACCCAACCATATCCTAAAGTGAGGGCCTGTAAATAAAAGTATTCAAACAAATTAGCTTACACAGCAGTATAATTATGAAATGTGGTATAAATTTTTAATTCCATAATTTTAATTTATGCTGTAATTGTAATTTTGTTATTGTTGATATTTCACTCATCTAAACACACATTTTTTATGAATTACTGTTTTGGATAGGTGAATATTGATCAAACAACTCAGTGGAGGATGATTTTGTGGTCTGAAAATACAACGTTCTCGCGTCTTCATCATCAGAGTGTAAAACTATTAGCTGTCAATCACAACAAATAACTAACAATTTTGACATTAATCCAATGTTCAAACATACACAAGAATTGTCAGTATATTTGCTGGCTGGTTGCTGTCAAACCTAAAACTATTGTTTCTTCAAATTAGGCGAATAACAAGATTGGTTATCAATTTTCTGCCACAAAAGTACTTCTCAGAATTTCTGTAAATGTTGTGAAACATTGTGAATGATAAACACCTACTGTTATCTCTTCATCTTTAGGCAGAGAGGTATTCCATTCTTTCTGATTGTCCCAGGATGAAAAGTGCAGGCACATCAACTGACTACAATTATAGAAAACGAATATGAAAGCACACTAGTTTGTCGATAAAATGTGAACAACATTTCTCACAAAATAGATAACTTAACTACATATCAGGTATTCTCTCAAAGTGCGAGTTGTATGTATGTCAAATTTAAAGAAAAATTGTATTCAAAGATCACATACATTAACCCCCAAATTTTTGTTCCCCACAAAAATAACAAGCAGCCTGTCGGCTGGGATAGCTCCTCACATTTCAATTAAAGGACAGAAGATATCATTAGAAAATGAACAATATGTATAGTATCAAAGCAATCGGACTTGCCGTTTTCAACAAGAATTCAAAAATATCACTTTTCAACAAAAATATTCATCAGAATTAGATAATTAAAGATATCACCACGAAATGAACAAATCTGAAAGAGGTCCACATGGACTTGTGGTTTTCAACAACATTTTTACCAAAAATGACAAAAATATTCACCAAAATTGAAGATATCATCATGAATTAAACAAATCTAAGAGAGGTCTACCCAAGGTACATATACACCAAGTATCAAAGCATTCAGGCTTGTAGTTTTCAAGAAGAAGTCGAAAAAGTAAAACATTGACACAGACAACGACGGACAATCACTCATATGATAAGCTCCGCTCAACAAAGTGGACAGCAGAACACTTTTTCATTACACAATATAAATTGTGATACATACCTTGGTGTATTATCATCTTGACTCGGTGCTGCAAATAGAACGGCTTCACTTGATAACGATGCCATAGTATACCCTGCGTTATTATCGACATGCATCGCGTGGTGTAATGAAGTATCATGGAATTCTATTTCAATGGAATTTTCATCATCACTACTGTATGCTTTTATTATACCAACAGAATTCCACACCTGCAGAACAAACGCAAATACATTGCAGCTACTTGGTCCATATCATTGACTTTATATTATGCGTAAGAATATTTACTTTCGTAATGGTGTTATATGTGTATTGATAAGTAAAAAGTAGTACCACTAGTGTAGCTCCAAAAAAAAAAGTCAGTCATGAATGGTTTCGTTGATGAGTCAACATATAACAAACATACAGATGTTGAATTTAACGATGATGATGACACCCCCTGAAGATTTCACTTTTTAATTAATGTGTAAAGAAGTGGAAATCACAATACCACAATGTCCTTTCCACAGCAAATGTTACCACCAAGATAACCCTGTGGCAGACATAAATTACACTGTGTGCAATTCAACAAAGGAGAAATGATGTCATGCTTTATTAAATCTATAACATGATCATTTGATGTGTATGAAAATGTACAACAACTGAGTTTGTCCGACACCATCACTGTGGTACATTTGCACCATTCTATTGTATTCTATACGTAATACAATTTTATATTAAAACTGTGATTAAATATGCCAACAGCACCCAAGGACAGTTTCACCTAAAACGTCCCATACTGTAGACTATGAAATGTGGGGTTGGAATTGTTGAGTCAATAATTGTCTGAGCAAGATGTCTTTTTTACATTTTTTTAATTTACTGTCCAAGTAGCATGGCTGAAATGAAATTATTTTGTTTTTAATAATAAAACAGGGCAAATGTATTCAAAATTGCAACGCAGACAATATCAATTCCGAGCGTCAGCCTGCAATAGAGCTAACTTGTGAAGGTGACACTTGAATAAAATTAAAATGTTCTTTTGTCTGGTGTCCGTTGGCTCTCGGACTAAATCGAGAAATAATTCCTAGAACCAATGTAATTGGAACTAACTTTTCTTGCTCAGTCCTGAAGTCAAAGAACATTTTAATTATATTCATGCAACTTGACCTCAAAGAGCGGTCATAGCCCTGTGTGGTGTCGCTAAGCAACAACCCACTAAGACCTAAAGTGCGGTCCATACTTTGCATCCACCATTTGAGTTTCTCACACATCTTACATACCTTATAGATATCAATGTTTATAAAGTCTACACAAATTAAAGTTTTTGTTATACTGGACAGCCAGCATCAGTTACTCAGGGTTTTCTGTGACAATTGATCAAGAAACTCAATCAGGTAAAGGGGTGTTAAAATTGCATTTGTAGTGCTTGTATAGTAAGCAGCTAGTGAGACATTAAGGACAATAGTAGGTGGTTAAATAGCTTGCAGCAGTCTTCTATGGATACTACCATACATAAGAGTACATACACATCAAACATATTTGTGGACTTGGTACATACCATAAATCGACTTGATAAATGTATAGGTGTAGAAGCAGGCTGAAAAGATTTCTGAAGTGGAGTTTGTGGTGGTGCATCATACTTGATTGGTTTACTGGAAACTGATGGTTCCACATCACTCTCATTAGCAGCATCAGACAAAACCCTGCTATCTATAACAGAAACAAAATTGTATTACCGGTACACAAGATTTGAAATAGTGCCCTCAGTGTTGAGTTTGAGTGATTAAACAGCATGCTACCAAGTACATATTTTTAAATATGTACTTAAGCAGATTTATTTACTATATTTTAATCATATTTAAATAATTGTGTAAGAATAGTTTTTCTACAATATTATGGTGTAACCACAGGGATGCTAGTTTTCCTTTTATGAAAACTACAAGAATAGAACAATGTACTTGAATAACACTGTTTTCACCAAGCTATTTTAACATCACTGAAGTGAATCATTGCTTGGGCACAATTTGTTACAAGAAAGTTGTACTGGCAATCAGTAAATCATTACAGTCAAGAGATCACAAGATAATCTGATTTTTACATTACCCATGGAATTGTCATCTTCTATAATTGCTTGTAAATTTCTATGTTTTGGTTTCTGAGAGATCAGATCATCAATATCAATATCATCGTTGTCGTCATCTCCAAGAGCAGCTGCTGCAGCAGCAGTTTGCGTGCTATGAAGTTGCTCTGCAGCATCAGCTGCAGCAAGATATGCTGCATTGTCACAATCATCACCGTCATCATCATCATCAAACAGACCAGCGAACGAATTTACATTCACCTCTGGTTTCTAAAACGAGAACAATGTTAGAAAAACACTTTACATAGTACACATTTTATTTTTCAGTGTGTATGCATTTTTGACAAGTTGCATTTGTTTAAAATCAAAACACAAGTGTTGTGTGTTTGGGATATGAGCAATATGAAATATGTACACCATGCCACATATTGTGTTGTAGCTTACCTTTGTGACTGTCCCAGGTTCAGGTAAGATATTGTTTATCAACCCTAACTGTCCATCTAAGTCTGTATACACTAGTTCATTTTTACCCATAGGATGAAAAGCAATACCACAGATAGTCAATTTTTTATCATGTTGTACGCTGCAAAGAAACAACAATTTTTGAAATAAATAAATAAATAAACCAAATATTAATGACAGAAAAAGTATGTTGTCTAATATGTCAGCCTTAATTAGGAATCCATACTAAGTTATATCAGTTGTATATTAAGAACAAGTTAATGATGACCTATGTGTTCTCTCATGAACTTATCACCCTAAAAGTATTAATTTAATTTCATGTTTTTTCTATTCCATTTACAGTTTCTATTACACACTTTCCCATAGAATATGATAAAAATCTTCAGTTAAACTCACAACTGCACACATCTACTCTTAGACCCATACATAAATCCCATTTACAGTTCCTTTAACACACTTTACTGCAGAATACTATATATATATATATATATATATATATATATATATATACTCTGTAAAATCTGTATTAGAAGCCGTGGCTTCTATTAAAATGGTACAATGGTACTATTAGAGCATCTACACTTATGAGAAACAATGAATTTTTGGTTTTCAAATGTTT